GTAAGCGTTTTCCACAGGCGGGGTTATGCCAACCATTAAATGACTAACGTGTAATTAGGAGGCTGGATACTTATAGTAGTCATGTCCCTGATGCCAAGGGAGTCCAGGACAGCTGTGGAGAAGTAAGCACCGAGGGAGGTCAGGCTTGACTGACCAATCCATTTATGTCTGTATTTGTTTTTGTGTTCCACCTCTGGGTTGGCTATCTCAGGAGGCAAGTGACTTAGCGTTGCGGACAGCGTGGTGCATCTCCCGTGCGGGTTTTACAGTGAGTGTACAGTAGAAGGTGCTGCCGCTCAGGAGAAGGCCTCCTGTAGGGATACAAGTTGGACAGAAAGGGAGTGCTGGAAAAGGGAAATCTCACGCACTTCCTGCTCTGCTGTGGTGAAGAACAAGTCTTCTTGCCTGGGCCGGTTTATCTGCTCTGTCCATCTCTGTCTGGGGAGCTCTTTGATGCGGAGCTGATCTGAAGGTTAGAGTCTCCTTATCAACTCCATGCTTACCTCTGTTTGTTTTTATTCTGAAGTTTGCTCCCTAATTTTGCAATAACCCACAGGGTGCTGGGTGTTGCGCCAGCCGTGCCTCAATGAAGGATCTTCATTCAACACCTTTCCCTTCCCGTCACACCAGTCAACACAGCTCCTGCGTTTTCCAGCAGCATTCGCTACGCAGTCCAGACTTCAGTCGAGCCTTGGTTGGTGGTCAGAAAGGCTACCAGACCTACCGGGACCTACCATGGGATCTTCAAAAGTAGGTGGTGTGTTTTAACTAGGAAAGTCTGATTTGGAGGTGTAATGGTGGTAAAGGATACTGTCTATGGGAGAGCTTTAGGACTTCAAGGACATATATCGATCCAGAAAAGAAATCTCTTTGTTCTCTTGCCTGATGTTGGACCTCATTGCTCTATCTCTGCTCCTTTCATCCTTCTAGATCTAGGGTACGTCATGGATCCGTCTGAAACGTACAGCCTGAAAAGGGACAATAGACAGGGAAAGCTGAACAATAAGTTGCAGGCTGAAAGGGAGATTTTGGAGGTTGTGGTCTGGATGAAAAGAGTAACATATGGCTGGAGTGAGAAATGCAGAGGGAAATCCTTCCCTAGCATGGCCAGGAGCACAAAGATTTGCTTTCTGTTTAGAAAGATGATGTGATGGCTTAGGTTGATGCTTACCTTTCCTCCCTGTGATTGCCTTATCCTGCCCCAGCAGGCTTTTATTTCAGCAGTGCAGAATCCAGGATTTTGGGGTCAAAATCAAATGTTAATTACATGGTTTTGGGAAACCATGGGTTTTGGTTAGGTCTAGTTGCAATATTATTTCTCCCAAACCTTGCAAAGGTCACAGTTAAATCAGTGACGACAGCACAACTACATAGGGAGAACACCATAGATTTTCATTCCAGTTCTGACCCCAATACTTTTAAGGAAGAAGCCGTGATTTCTAGGGAGTAACAACAAGGTGTCATGTATCTGAGAGTATTTTGTGCAGTTAGAGATGCTGAATATCCTTGGTTTGTTTTTCTATAATAATATTTAAGACAGTGATGGAAAGTTCAGAGTAATTTTACAAAAATAAGTCTCCTAGCTGTGACACTATATGACACTCTCTTGGGTCAGAGCAGGGATCTGGTCATAAATGTACAGTGAGCCTGGAATTTGTCATTTCTGTTTAATGCTCTGGCTCCTGGATTCATGTGGCAATGGGAGATGTTCAGTCTCCTTTGAGGTTGTTTTTGGTTATTGCCTCAGCGATTGATGAAGCTTAAAAGTATGACCTCAGAAACAAAATCCCAAAGAATCTGAAATGTTAGTTTGGGATTTTTTTAGCACCTTAATGATTTGACTGGCTGGCTGAATTTTTGTGTGTGTTTGCTAAAGACTATGATATTAGTCTCCTCTCTGGCATTGCTTTGGGCAAATGGCTGTGGATGATTGCAAGATATTACTTACTTTTCAATCCTCAGTATTTTTAAAAATTGGAGTTGTTTTTTTTTAATAATTACTGGACATGCTGCAATAGCAACATTGTTTCTGGATCGACAAAACTTATTCTTTATGCCCACTGAAGTGTTTTTCTTGTTTTATGAAGACAATATCATTTTAGTCACTGCAGTGTTGACTTTGCCAGGAGAAGACTGAGTTCAGCTTTTGCTTCTGTGCTCCTTAGTGGTACCCTGCTTCAGCACCCAAAGATCCTCTGCCCTGTTTAATATCCATACCTTAAAAACTATGCTGCTCTGTCAGGTGAGGAAGAAATCCTCATCAGTTGTGAGTACCAGTTTGTGTGTGTGACATAAAGAGGGAAAATTAAGTGAGAGTTCTCTGCCTAGCAGAACTGAAAAGCCATTCCTTTTTCTAGTATAGATGTAAATCTAGTTGCCATGTCTTGTTGATACCAACAGTGGCGTAAATAATTTAATAACAGTGTGCTGGAGGGTAGTTAAACAACATCTGGGTCCAGTTTGGTTGCCTCCTAGTTAGGAAAGGAATAGTTGTTTAGGTTATTATAAAATCTAAAGTATGTAAGAAGAAATCTGTGTTGAATAATTAAATATTTACACATTTGCAAAGGGATGGAGACTGCCTGGTCTTAATCAAAGACCTTGTGTAGTCTGTTAAATGTCCAGAGTTCTTTGCTAGGCAGGGATGTAGATCTAAGCATGGAGCTGTAAGCATTGCTGGTTGAGCTCATCATGCTGAGCCTAGTCTCTTAAAGACCGATGTTGATGCTTCAGCAGTGGCTTTATCCAGTTCCGAAATGCCTCTTTTCACAGCATTTCAAGATAATTTGGAACGTGTGCTCCATAAAATCCTTCAGGAAGCAAAGCTGCTAAGGAAAACTGGGTGGAGTAGACAGCCTTGCTGGTCTTATCCCTCCTCTGTTGTGCTGTGTCTTGCAGTCTGGGAAGCAAACGCAGTGTCCTACCCGCCACTTCCTTGTGAACATCTTGTGCCCGGGCAGGATGAGGTACAGGGTAGCTGATAGCCTAAAAGTGAATATGTAGGTGGAAATGCAGTGCCACTTGCACCAATTTGTCATGCAGTAGGTGGGCAAAATGAGTGTAAATTACAGACTGCTGAGGTGTAGCAGGAAATGGATACCAGCCCTGGTGCAAGAACACTCATGTCCCATTGGCATTAGTGGGAGTTAACCTCGATTATTGCAGGAGGCAGATGCGGTTCCTGCATGGTACCAAACCGAAACCAGGGACCTTTATTCTGAATGAAGTCGAGCTAACACAAAGCTTGGGATGGCTTAATTTGACGTGCTTCTGACACAGGACAATCTGAAAACTTCATGCGATCTGTGGACAGATTTGGTGACAACAGGAGGACAAATTTCACACACGACTGAACGTGGGAATTGTTCAGTTTTTCTGCCACTGGAGAATTGCCTGGGGTTTCAGAGTCTCAGCTGAACCTCTTGTCCAAGGAGCCTTCTCTAATTTCAGCAGCATTTCTCCCATGAAGACATTTGTCCATCTCTCTGCAGTGAAAATACATTGCTAGATTACAGCACTCACTGTTTATCCAGTCTAGCAATTGTTCATTATACATAAAGTATAAAATACGGAAAAACTTATTACTCAGCCAGCAGGGTAAGCTTGCAAACTACAGGAAAAGCTGGATACTTTGGGTGAGATTCTGAGTGGATGTAAGATGTCACGGACGCACCCAAAGTATCACGAAGGCAGAAGGGCTGTGGTCTGTTGTATCAGCCTTGCAGAACTCCTCAGGAGTGATGTAAGTATAGTCGTTTTACAGTGGCATTTCATATACCAGTGAACAGATTTATTTCAGCACCCAGATTAAAACATCATCACTATCCTATTATGTGTGTATTCATATATTACAATGATTGCTAAGACTGATACAGTGGTTTTTATCTTTTTTTTTTTTTTTATCCTCGAAGCGCCTTAACAAGAGAGAAGTACCGCACGTACTCCAAAATTGTGGAGAAAATTTGTCTGCCTAAGCGTGCCTCTGTTGTAGGACTGAAAACAAAGAACACTTAATAGCCCACAAGAGATCATCTCCAGGTGACTGGTTTGGGTTTGGCTGGTAGGCTGGCCTGTCAGCACCTTTCTTGGGCAGGCACTGTCCTTGCATGCGTGCGTTTCTCCTGGTGCATGCTGACTTAGCTAGACACTGGCTCTGATGTCAAGCTTGCTGCAGGTGATGGAGGGGTTCCCACAGATGTCAGAGCGTGCTTTCTGCCCTGGTGAGGAAGACCTTTGAGAGTTTTTCCTCTGAAGCAGGCAGTTTGGCTCGTAGAAGGCAGTTTTAATTCCGCTCCCTGGCAAGAAGTGAATCTAAATTCCGACAGATGAAAGACATTCTTATTTTGTAAACTAACAGTTTCAGGCTGCGGCGAGGCAAGTGCATGCATGGTTTATTTAATGCAATATTTATTCTACGTTTATTGAATGACACCCTTAAGAAAACCCAGCACATTAAGATATTAGGTAAGATTTTTAATTTTTCTTTGAGACTGACTTTTTTTCCTCCCCGATACTCCTATATTGCTAAAAGTCAACAGACATAATTAGCTGTGTCCTCCTTATGTTTGCCTTGTAAAGTGCGTAAGGGGAGGTATCCCTCTGGCTCTGTGTTTATTGGTGTGAGCTTCTTGTTGAAGAAAGGTTTCCTGGGGGGCTTCTTTCTGCTCATGATGGGGGTGAATCCAAGTACAGATGTAGGGCTCCAAATCACCTACCACCACGACTCAGGAAAGGTCTCAGTGGGTATTTCTAGGAAAATGCCAGCTGAATGCCAGTTGAAAAAGCCAAGACACTGTTAGGAATTATTAGGAAATGGAAGGGACAACCAAGTAAAATTGTTATGTCAGCGTGGGCAATTTTATATCAGTTTTTGTAGTTTTTCTTTGCCTGAAAATATTTCACTGCTCTTCCTAATTGAACAAATCTTCATCTGGGACTTGGCAGTCATCTTCTGAGAGATGAAATCCAGTCCTTGACTGCAGTGTATTTAAGATTCCTGCATGGGCATGATTGTCCAAGGAAAAGCAGAGTCTCTGGAGCAGAAGGGAGGACCGGGTAGGCTGCAGGCAGAAGGGACGCTGACAGAAAGCCCACGAAGGTCAGTGGGAGGCTTTCAGCTGGTATTTGGTTCAGGCTTAAAATCTCCACCTCTACTCTGGAAGATTTCAGTGACCTTCTTAGCTGGAGTGTTTTTCATCCTGCTGTGCATTTCGAAGTTACGCTCCGTGTTCCCTCTCTGTTGAGCAGATGGTTCCCAAGGAGTTAGCAGGGACTTCTTGAATCTTGGGCAAATAAACTTCCACTGTTGAACCTCTATCAGCCTTTTGCAGAGTATTCAAGGTCTGTTGGGTCAGCATGTGGATCGAAGCTGTTTCAGTTCTGGCATAGTTACTTCTCTTGTGTGTATTGAAACCCTGTAAGTACCGTCCAGCTTTACACTATGGGACATGTTGTCAGATCAAATAGTTGATCTTTGAGGAATGAACCTCAGGAGACAGAGAA